TCTTGGTCACTTATGGGACTTAAAGGGTTAAAAGAAACAACAGTTTCCCTTTGACAATTGATCTCTCTATCTCTTCCTTTACCTGAAACTCCCAGCTAGAAGTTGATACTGATAGAATCAAAGCAAGAGGGTCATGTTCTTGTTAGCATGGGATATGTTAGAATAATATCATGCACTAATGCATCTTTTTCAGGATGAGATCTTGAAAGCAGTCATTTTTCGAATACAACACAGGATAGAACAAGACAAATTATCCAAGATTTTAAGCCGAAAAAAATGTTTAAATTTTATTTGACCCATAACAGAGCTAACTATAATTCGCGCTCGTTCCTAATAAGGCACAAAAAATTGTTTTAACTAAGACTTCATGCGAGATTTGAAAATATATTGCAGAACCAATTTGAGAAATAATTTTATTAATATAATGATATCAACCTTAGGATCACATTCTTTTAATCATACCATTAAGTTCTTAATATTTCAAACTGAATTTCTTAAGCGGCATTGGAAAAAATATTCTTGATCCTTGGTAGAATTTTATAGCTTCAATTTGATTTTAGCCACAGTAGCGAGGACATTTCATAATTAGCCTCCAAGTTCTTTATCAAAACAAATAAAATAGCCTGCACTTTTTTAGAAAAAAAATTTCAAAAATTGATTGAAATTCGTAAATTAATTTTCGGAATTCGGTTTTGCCAAAAAAGTTCGCAGATCAAAATTAAAGCTTTGGTGCTGTTATAAATATGAATTTAGGAATTTGAAGACTGAAGACTGAAGGCACGAAGTTTTCTGGAAATTATTTTTTTGGTATTCCTGTGTTACTGCAAATGACAGCGCAAAAGATCTCCCCTCTACTTAAAGAGTAAACAAGCTATACCTTACTTTAAAATCAAATGCCTAGTCTACAGCAAAAAGGTGGCTTCATTTGTGTCGAGTCAGTACAACTTCCAAGTTTCGACGATTATAAACTTTAGGATCCAATCGAGAATACAGTTTTACATAAACCAGTATTCGAACAGCGGCTAAAATTTTTAATTTTTCGATCAACTGAGTTCTAAACAGAATGAAATAGTGTAACACGTTTGATTATATGAGAAAAAAATTGAACCCATTAATTTGCATTTCAGGTTTTGTGCGTTTGGCAAAATTATCGTTTCTTTAAATTTCAAACCGCCATGAGTGCATAAGGACATAGTTTCAGCTAAAATTTTGCCTTTTCGCCCAACTGAGTTCTAAACAGAATGAGACAATGTAACACGGTTGATTTTCTAAAATCAAATTGAACCCATTAATTTGCATTTCAGGTTTTGTACGTTTTACTAAATCTCTGTGTTTGGTTCAAATTTCAAACTGCTATGAGCTCAAGAGTATATACTTTCCTTGATTCTTCGTCGTTAATGTGTGACGACATACCACAAAAAAGATATTGATAAAAGGAATTTAGCATTTTGAATCATTTCGGCGTGAATACTGAGTCCAATAAAATCTTTCTATTTTTTGGCTTTTTTTGCGTAGTCTTCATTAAGATCTGTTTCACTCGTAACGCACGAAGCACGCTTAAAGGAAGTAGTTTGTTAATGGCAAGCGCCCAGTTTTAAAACAAGCTTCTGAATTAAAAATTTGAAACAAGAAAACATTTGTCATTCTCACTTTCATCTAACATGATTTCCTCGAAGGATCAAAATGTAAGATTTCTTGAAAACCACCTGAATACGACGCAGTTACTTTTTTCAATTCTTTGTTGACTGCTGAACTGACCATTTACAAATTTCCCATCATTTAATGTGAGAGCCATTATTTCTACGATTTGTCAAAGAAAACATTTACCATCGATTGAAATAATCTCAAAAGGCTTTAAAAAAATGAAATTTCTTTGTCAGTAAGTGAAGTCCTTTTAAACTGGTTTATGTAAAAATGTTACCGAAAATTGCGTTGCTGTTTGTTTGTTTGTTTGCTTTTTTAAAATTCAGGTAAACTAGGCATTAGTAGAGTTCTAAAAATAACAAGAGACCATTGGCGCAAACCTTAAAATATCAGGGAAATTGTAAACTATAAGAAATAAAATAAAAACGTAGACCTGAAAGCAATGTTCATTTTTTCCTTCATTTGCTCGTTTCTTTAGAGCCAATGTCCTCCTGAGTTAAATTGACCTCAGTTGATGCAACAGAGCAGTAGAATACAAATCTTTAGATGGCACTGTGTTGTTTTTTGTCGTAATTTGACAACCAAAGGCCTCTTTGTTGATCAAAATTAACTTGTTAATCCGATTCACTTCAGGAATGAAATATCATTTTGGTTTTCACTTGAATAATTTTTTCAGAAGTTTTTTATGGCCAAGTTTTGCTAAAATAACTGAGAAGAAACTAGAGAAGTTATTTGCACAAATTTAGTATTCGATCATGTAGCGAGGCCTGTCTTGTCGAAAAAGTGCTGATGTCAGTAAAGCGACTTGAGTTTCACCGGGGAGATTGGAAGTCACCCAAGTCAAGTCACGAGTCATGCAAATGCGTAAACAAGTTGCTCTCTTTCGACTGTAGTTTTTATGAGTTAGTCTAGCATGGTCTGACGGTCAAGATTGATTTTTTCGTGCGGTACGTTGAAAATGTTAAGGTCAAGAGGAAGTCATCTGTAGGGCGCTCAATATTTTTTCTCATATATGTGAGAAGGATTAGTTATTGGATTGGTAGAACAATGGCTTTTTAGAGTTTGTTCCTCGAAAACAGTCGTGCTAAAGGTTATAAATTTGCAGGATACGAGTCATTAGTGTGGTTTTTCAGTCGATGTAATTGTTGGTATAAATTTAAAAAGGTCAATTCATGACATTTCTCTCAAGATTCCAATTCTATCATTTCGTTGAGCCCTCGTATAGGGTATTTTGTTACAGTGCCACCTTAAAAAATATCACCTTTTCGTAACATCAATTGAGAAATTATTTTGGTACTAACTGCTAGGCAAACAACGACTAAGCGATCAGTGATACGCGTAATTAACATTTTTACTTTCGATTTCCCGCCAAATTTCAATCAATGTTCAACTGCCTCAATGACACGAAATTTTCTGGGATAAATGTGTCTAAACTAGAGCAAGAAAAGGAGAAAAAATAAATCTTACTATAGCTAAGTCTGCTGAAAAATCAGTACCATTACAAAATTAATTCAAAAATGGTGGCTTGTTGCGAAATAACCTCTTGTAGCGGGAGCCAGAGGGAACAACATCAAACAGTTGGTGAAACTTACGTGTAAAGTTATCAAAAGCTCGGATATGTGATAGACAGCCACCATTTTTACTACTGTTACTACAAAACTTTTAAAATTCTTATCTTTTTCCCTATCGTCTTTATGCCCACTGCTTCCAGTTCGTTTGCTTTACCATCGTTCTTCAGACCACTATTTTCTCTCTGAAAAAAAAAATTTTCGATATGAACAGGCGCCTGCCAACTGTTTAAACTTACACGGAGATTTAAAAAAACATCTTACGAAGAAATACAAAATCAAAATAAATATTTTGCATTGTTTTTGTTATGCAAAAGTTCTGTAGGGAAGAAATTCGCCAACCACAACTCTTTAAAACTCCACGTGGCAGCGTTCAACTACAAAATCTCGTCCCCTCTCTGTGTAACTTCGTAATTTACGCCAACCAAGAGACATTATGCGATTCATTATACCAGAACTAAAGGTTGTGTTTCCGTGGAGGTCAGCATCCGTACTCAATCGATCTGAGTCGAAAAGCTGCTCAGACCGAGAAGCTAATACTTGTTGACGCGTGAAACAACGAGGATATGACTCCTTCACCTCCCTGAAAGAGTTAAAGGCAACATTTTCAAGAAGGAAAGCTCACCTTCTGGTAAAATAATAACAGAAAACTGTCGTTTCTCATCTGTACAGGTCTTATTTCAACCGGAATCATTTCTTCTTGAGCACAACGGGAGGACAAATGTTCACTCTTAAGTGGAAAAGCGAAGTTTGCTGAAAATTGCACAATTTCTGATGAATATGGATTAACAACCTAACCCAATCGAAGGCTGATACGTCACAGATTTGTCACGGAATTTCCTTTGCACGCTCTGCCAGCTTATCAAGAACGAAGGAGATGTAGGAATTGTGTACGATGAAAAGAAGAGAGGACGGTGATTACATTAATATTGCAAGAACTATTATCTCTAGGAATGTGCTCTGAAATTGAAAATAGATTGAAAAACAAATTTGAAAATGAAAATTGTGTAACTCAACGACTAAGACTTTTTTCAAATACTCAGACACCTAGACAACTCAGATTTCAGTATAAAACAAGCAAATGAATTAAACCAAAGCAGTATTATTTTGAAATTTTTATATTTGAGCAACGAAGCTACGAATAAACATGAAACATTGCTATTCTGCTGAGATGAAGCTTAAAAAGACCAAATTAAGTTGACTCATTTTTTCTTCCTTAAAGAGAGAGTATGATAAAATCTGTGCATTGCCTTTCGTGTGAAGTAAAAATAACGATAAAATGGACGCAAAAATGATAACCCTCTCCCCTTCTAGACTTGTGGGGATATGAAAACCAAAACTCCTGCTGGAAAGAAATATTTCGTAGCTTACTTTAAGCTGTTTTTGTTTCAAAAAAAATCCTGTGATTTCGGAACAAAAACACAGAATTCTCAAAACTGATCCATAAGTAAAAAGAAGACGGTTACAAGAGAGAATAACTAATGAGATTCTCGGACCAAGGGAAGAGGCGCGCAAGGAGGGAATGGAAGTAAAGAGTTTCATACTGTCCATGAGTAACTTTTGGCTCCCATGCGATTTTTCAAATCATTCTCGTTACTCATCTCATCGCCTGCTACTCGCAAGTCACAGGTTGGCATTCAAGCTGCAGCATTTAGAAATAAGGAGGCGAAACTAAGCGGAGCGTACAAAACAAAAGTTAAAATTAAATTAATATTAATATTAAAAAAATGATATGTTTTATAAGGCTCAGCTACTCTAAGAGAAGAAAACAGAATTAAATGCTGCATATCAACGAAAACACTGATAAGTTTATTTTCTACAAAATGAGGTGGGTCTATACCAAAATTGATATGCATAATCGGCAACATTGCAATTCTCTGCAAAATTTCTTCACGCATATTACAGACACCGTCAGAAACAGCGAGGTAAAGGACCTCGGTTTCTAAAGGAGTTCTTCTTCTGTAGCAAATTCAAAGAGGAACAATTATTGCGTGACATTGTAAATAGGATGCAACGCCATCCAATTACATTCAACAAGAATACATTAGGGCCTTTTACGATTGAGTGTCATAAAGCCATCCAAGGTGGTCAGAACGGCCAATCAGAGCAAAGATGAATATCTCCAGGAACCAATCAAAATGTGACCGGACCGAAGGGCGGGAAAACGATAGTGAGCAAGACGCGTTTGGTTTAAGTCTGGCAGCTGAATGGTTTTCTTGCTCAATCTCAGAGGGGTAGTGAGGACACAAAGTGTATTCCCAGATAGCCAAAGACACTCAATTGAAAAATATTCTTTGTTACGTTTAAAAATTATCACAGCTAATCAATAATATTGGTGACTAGGTACTATACTCATGAAAATAAACACCGACACGCAGATAATGAATATTAACAATCTCCAAAATAAAGCTTACACTTTAAATACCCAAGCTTGGCTTGTAGTCATGTTGTTCGCATTGCGTGACAGATCCATAAATACAGTTGTCTTATTTTGTACGCAAGTTACATGATTCTGTGCGAAGCTTCCTTACAATCAAATCGATCAATCGAGCTAAGATTCTTGCGCTTATAAATAATGAAATTTTCAGTGATCCTCTATAAAGGTATCACGAAACTTTCCTTTTTTAACACTTTATAGTTATATCCACGTGATAACTTACGATCCTTAAAAACTAATCTACATAAGTACTTTGTCCCTTTATGATCCATGTCAGTATCTCAAGTGCTGCGCACCTACCCCTCCCCTATTCCAAAAACATTCAACTGATAACAAATTAAGGCTAATGTTGGGGGAGGGGTTGGTCTGCAGTTGCTTAGCTACTAACAGTGATCCTTCCTTTACGTCTATTATTGCCTAGGATGACACACATTTTGCCAGATGTTTCTAGACTACAATCATCATTATGCTTAAACTATATGTACATCTTGGTGTCAGAAAGCTTCCACATCAGGCTCACAGGTCGATCATTGCTGCATCCTGTGAAAGTAAAATGAAGATTTCGTTACAAACCTGAGTGGTTCCGTGAGCGCTGGAATTCTCTCTGTAAACCCCACCACCACCCCCCTCCCTCAATCTCTTACCACCTCCCTTACTATGGGGCAGGATTGAAACTTACTACTCAAGGGAAACCCGTATCTGAAATTCTTCCTCTAGAGAGTTGCCTTCTTCAAATGCGTTCCCTGAAATACCGTACCTCCGCAGAAAGTTTCCCTTGGGAATCAGTCCTTATTTATCGCTGCAAGGGGGGTGGGGGTTGGGGGGGGGGGAGGAGGAGGATTTTGGGTGGAATCGCATGGTTTTCAGAGGGGATGGAGAGGGGATTTGTCTGTGCTAACAGCTGGGGGGGAGAGGGATCAAGCACTATTTATAGCGACACAACCAAATTCCTTCAGCCTGCCCCCACTCCTTTTCACCTCTTCAAAAAAGCATTCGTCTTCATGAGACTAGCAAAGGCAGCACTTACATCATCACTGGTATCACAATCTCGATACGCCCGCAATCCTTTGGGTCTGGGATCATACTTGAAACTCTCAGAGCCCTCCATTTCTTCCACGTCGTCTTGAGAAAGTTTAGAGTAGCGATAAGAGGGGCGGCTGCAATGATACAAAACAAAAGTTGTAATGCGACATTTCCTCAAGATACTCCAGGTTACAATGAGTTGGAAAATTCTTGGCACGCACCACTACTTTCTAGATTTTTTTCCCAAAACCTTTATTTCCATCTCCCTCTCTCCCGTTTCAGTGTTACTTGGAGGTAACAAAATGGTCACTAGTTTCAGGCAAAATTGTTTAGGGGGGGGGGAAAGGAGGCACTTGCAAGTAACTTATTTTTCCTTCATCCTTTTCTCTTCTGTTTTTCTGTACGATTGTGTGACTGAGGACGACAGGATCATACGATGAATAAACTTGTTAGAATTTTTTTTTTTCTTTTTTTTTTTTTTTGCGGTTGGAATTCAATTTTGTTTGATTTAAATAAAATTTCCATTGAATAGAGATTATCTGAAACAGAGATTATATCACATCGTGTAAGATAAAAATGCACTTACATTTTATGAACCTTCCAGTATTTTCTGCCAAAGTACACACCGGCCACAATCAAAATCAAAACCATAGGAAAGACTATCCATACCGCACCTTTACTGTGCGCCTTCTACAGATAGAAAAGAAAAAGATCTGAGGATTGATTCTCTACATTGTCTGCCGTATATTTTTTATAATTTTAAGTCTGAGAATTTGGTGTGAAATCAAATGGTATCCCATGCTTGATAAGTTCTTTACTTCTCGTCACCCTTCTGCTTAAAAATGTATTGGTATTGTAAGGAGAAACTCATATTTGGTCACTCCAGGGAGTGAAAGAGTTAATATATCAAGAATTCCGTTTAACTACGTTGAAACACTGCCTCGGTATCTGTGATGCGTGAGTGAGTGGCAAGTAAACGGGGAAAAGAACGAAGACCACTAGAAATATTCAGTCTATGATGACCTTAGCCTGCCGAATAGTGCTTGAGCATGACCGTTTCTTCGTCCGTGGGAAGGATATGACCTTGAGGAACGAGAGGGTCTGGAACTTATAATAAGTTTTTAGTGCCAGACCCCCTTCACACTTCTCTCCGAGTCGTCTCAAATCTTTCTGCGGACAGAGAAACGCGCGTTCTGCAGCGCCAATAATGGGGGCCTGATCTCAAGCTAAGGTTAGCTAAGCCAACATTTGATTCATATGGAAACACGTCATGCATACTGCTAGGATCGACAATGTCGAAAGCCTCGAGTAAATAAAAAAATGATAAATTTTATAGCTCGGCAGTAAAACATAATACGCAGTATAAAAAAGTCCACGGCGATCTAACGACAAAGTAAAAAAGAGTTAGATACTAAAGGATTTCCTCTGAAGTGGAAATCCTTAAACTCTTCGAATATTCATTATTCATTATGAACCCTGTAGATTTGAGACGCGTCGAGGAGAAGTATGCAAGGGGTCTGGCACTAATAATGATCATCAGTACCAGACCCCCTGCAGACCTCTCGCCAGCTCGCGTTGCTGAAGCCGTTAGACTTTTCCCGCGGGTGAAAAAAAGACTGGTGCCGTAGCGCTCACAATAAATACCCGCTCCCAAGCGATTGAATAAAATAATATAAAAAAACGGCGTCCTTACCTTCTTTGCAAATTTTGCCTCATAGTCATAATTCATCCCGTATTCGTACCATGAGGCATTTCTACAGAGCTGCTGTGTGTCTAAATACTTATTCACAATAGGATCACCTCCACAGCACTGATCACCTGGAATACGTCGATATCTACAACAAATTATATTAAGCTGAATTATACAGGCAGTTTTATTAGTTTTTATCTTTGATCTATTGGAGAACAGATAACGGCACAGATGACGGCCTAGATGACGTCACTATCGGCCAAATTTTCTTCAGATCCAATAGTTTCATTTATCAAGCAACACAAGCCAAACCGACAAAGATCAGTCACAACATGAATTTTTTAAAACAGCATAATCACAATACTGATTTGCTATTGTCGCGACATAGCCACAATATACCATAATTCGTCACTCTGGTCACGCGTGACACTATGCGCCATATGGATGCGCAGTGTCAAACCGCAAAATCACACAACACAAGCCTTACTGACCCTAAATTGTCTGTTTCCACATCACCATGTATACAAAGCTCTGGAGGTTTATGTTCGTCCCTCACGCAATCATTTCCATTTGGATGATAGCCGTAGTCGCTGAGGAAAAAGAAAAAACGAAAAGAACAAAATATTGGCAAATCCATCAACACGGCAATAAACTGTCCAATGAAGAGTATTCCACGGGGTTTGCGGGGGAGCAATTCAGTTCGTAACTAAACCATGAACATTCCTTCGTTTTAGACTATTTCCGTTAAGCAGGTGAAAAAAACAACAACAACAACACTGAAAAACTAGGAAACAGCGCGGAAACTGAGAGCAAGATGGATCACACGCCATTTTGACCCCACTCCGTGTGTGGCTTTCATGTTTCATATTTGCCCATTGGTTTTTCCCTCCACTACTCCACATACACTAGAGCCCTCCAGAGAGAATTATTCAAATTAACTGGAATTCAACAAATTGCATAAACAATTAGGGTAGAACCATAACATATATATATATATATATATATATATATATATATATATATATATATGTATATATATATATATATATATATAGGTTACGTTGTTTTCGAAGATTCTGCATGAGCTCTGATATCTTTAGCCAGCTCCAGGCATTCAGTTAAACAAAACGAAACAAGATGGTAAATGGCGCAATAGAAACAGAAAATTGAAAAACAAGGGAAGTCTGGGTCGGGTCGCGCAATGCCACTCGACCCAAACCTCCCCCGTTTTTTTAACTCCCCCGTGACTATCGCGCCGTTCATTATTTCGGTCCGTTTCCCAAACTGAACGCCTGGAACAAACTATGATATGTTCCGTTGCACTCTTTGCTGCCTTACCATTCTATATCATCGTGTGTACACTCACAACATTTACTTTTTTCTTGATGGATATACTCCACTCCATTAAAACAACTGCAAACAAACAACAGTTAAAATACTTTAGCTAACTACCCCTCGTGAACAACCTTAAACCCTTTGAATCTCATGAGAAACCAAGACAGAATTTCTCCTTAGAACATCAATACAAAATTAAGACGACAAGTGATGAGAAAAGAGACAAATATCAATTAGGGGATTATTATTTGATCCAATACCAATTTCTCCGAACTAACATCATCAGAATTGTATGGCTAACAGTAAGGAGAATAACTAACGAGATCTGCTGTCTATACCTTTCCTCTAGTACTAAGTTTCGCGTATCTGGCGTGTCAACGCTTCTTTCTTAAACATTTCCATTTGAAATTTTACGCGGGAAATTAACGCGCGTCCGGCCAAAATTGATCCCCTTGCGCATGCCCAATGTTTGACCGCTCTGTTGCTTTACCTTTGAAAATGCGTTTTAACGCTGGAGTTATATATCTTTAGGCATCAGAGAGGAGACCGTACGGTCATGTATGTAGATAATAGTCAAAATTGTTTCCTTACAGACTCTCTTTCTTTGGTCTTCGAATGTAAACTTTTCTACCCAGCAAGCATCCGTTTTTCGCCCCTTTACCGTGAGGTATCCACTTTTCGTAGTCGTCGTCTTTACCTAGAGAACAACAACATCCATCAGGAGCCATTTCAAATGATTTTAACGGCCAATCAAAGCAAAGGGAAATGTAAAAGAAAGCCAATAAGGATTCAGGGTAAATACATGTGACCGGCGCGGTCCGAGCGCGGGAAACACGAGAGAATACGAAGTTGCAATTGATTGGAGTATGTAATCGCATGAGGCCGAGTAAAATTAAGGATTGATTTCTGCAACTTCTGAAAACACAATTAATCCCTAACTTTAAGAGGAAACAAGCGCTTACTTGTTTACAATAAAACAGCCAAAATTTTCTTTTATAAGAAAGATCAACAACGAATACAGTTGCGCAACGGCTTAGGAAGCCATTTTAGTGTTCAGTTATCATTAATATGACCTGTAAAACGCACGAATTGGCGAAATTAAATTCTTTGTTTGTGCAGAAACGCCAAAACAAAAAAGGCAACCCTGCTCAAAAACATTCACCATCAATAAAAATTTTTAACTTTTTAAGAAGAGTTAAGCCTTTTTAATTGTTTTCTACATTTTGTTCGAAATTGGGCAGGAAATTTCTAGTCCAATCACCGACCGAATTAAACCGCGGGAAAACACGGGTGGCCAGGACACGATTGGTATAGCTTTGTATCTGATTAGTCGAGATGGTGGTGCGTGATTTCTGGACCAATCGGCGGGCGAAGTAACGCAAGGGAAAACGCGAGTGGCCATAACGCCATTGGTTGAGAAAGAGGCGTGTGTTTTCTGGACCAACCACAAAACGCACCCCTTCCTGAAATCCCAATGGTATTTATCACCTTCTGTTCTTAGGCAAGGCGCGCGGAGTCTCACCGAAAACCAGCAAACTTTGGCAACTTACAAGCTCTTTTGAGTACGTTCTCAAAGTCCACAGTGATAACCTGCCACTCTCTTGAAGGTAAAGTAAATCCCCACAAACTGAACCTCATTGTTTTTCCACCCGGCTCTGTGACCAACCCGGTGACAGTGAAGTCGCGGTTTGTAAAAGGATGCTTGAACCAACAGCGGCCCTCGTTCACTGAATACCTGAAAAAAATTCCAAACATGAATAAATTTTCCTCATCTGTCAATAATTTCCTCCGTGAAGGAATATTTATAACAAACATTTTCACTCAGCAATTGCACTCTAACAACAAGCAGTCAGTTAACCCTTTAACCCCTAAGAGTGACTGGCATCTAATTTCTCCTTACAATATCATCCCTGAATAAAACATTAAGGTCATGAGAATTATGGAAATGATCAACAACGCAGGAAACTCTTGATTCTTAAACAAATTTTTCTTTTTAGAACCCTTAGAAATGTATAGGAAAAGTAGGGAGAATATGCATACTGATGTTAGGGTGTAAAGGGTTAAGAAAACGAAGCGCGATTGTAAACAGCGCGAATGTAGCGGAGGAGTAAAATAAAAACTGGCTTGAGTTAAAAACAAGGGAGGTTGGGTCGGGTCTCGTAATGAACTACATTCTCTACGCGAACCGATCGGAACTTCCCTCGTTTTCGCTCTGCCGCTATTATTACGCCGTTTATTATTTGCTCCGTTCACCAACCGAACGTCTGGAACACGCTACTCCGCAAAATTTTGTTCCAGCAGTTTTTTCCCTCAACGAGTCTCCTTCAGTAAATGGGATAATAGCTGATCGTGAAGTCTGATCGACCGGGTGATAAGAGTCCTGGAGAAGACTGATCTCGGCAGTCGTGAAAGCGGTTTCGAAAGCCTTAGCTAAATTCCCCTCTACCCTCCCACCCCACACCTCGCTCTTGCACTGTGACAAGAACAGGCCACAAGTTTGATCCTTCCTCCTCTTAAATTGGTGCTTTGTTGTAAATCTTTACAAAAACCCTAGAAGTGGATAAAGCGATAATGTTATTCATCACTTGTTAACCTAACTACTAACATTACTCACATGAGATATTTTGTGGCAGAGCTGAAAGCTGGTACAGCCACGATCAAGTTTCCATGATCTCCAATGGAGTAATGGTGCGAGCCACTCAGAACCTACAGACAACAGATATCACTAATGCAACGCTTTGCGATTGAGTGTTTTAGAGCACTTTTCGATTAGATGTCGTCAAACAGAAGAAAAGAAAATACCTTTAAGAGCCAACGAGAACTCAAATTGAAAACAAGCAAACTGCCTGAAGCGCGGGAAAAACGCGGACGACCAAATTGGGATTTGTTTTAGTTTCGCATCTGATTGGTTGAGAGAGTGGCGCGATTTTTCTGAACCAATCAAAAAGCTAAGAAAAGGAAAACCTACACCCACGCAATCACAACGACGAATCAGAAAAAAGCGAAAAACTTTTCCAGGAGCCACACTGTACTCAAAGTAAAAAGAAGCCAAGCCCCTGAAGCGCGGGAAGACCCAAGGGACCCATGTTGCGAAAGACCACTATTTGTGCACTGTTTGTACTATTTATAACCTGTTTACAGAAAGGGCTGGGGAGATATCAATCTCTTCCCAATCTTTTCTCGTCTGTAGCTTTCATTCGATCCAGAGAGAAAAACAAACTTCTAAACAATATTAGCATCCTTTGCAGCCATCATTTAGTTCCGTCACGCAACTCACTCTCGCAATAAAGCGCTGCGTGACGTGACCAATCAAAGGCCGCAAAGGAGACTGGTCTTCACTTGAACCTACCTTATTCCACGTGTACCCTCCGTCACGTGTCATCCACACGTCCACGTTTCTGTTCAAGGCACTACCCGCATGACCATGAGCAAGTATGATACCAACCGCGTTAGGAATGCTCAAGGGACCCATGGCAAACTCTACACCTCTGCTTCGACTGAAACGGCCATGGATTTGAAGAGAGCACTTCTCACCTGGCTAATAGATTCACAATCAAAAGTTTTCATTCTGAATACAATAAAACAAAATAGTTTTTTTCTGCGCTACTGTGCACATACAGTATACTTTCTCCTAAACCTTTACACCCCAACATCAGCATGCACATTCTCCCCACTGTTCTCTAAATATTTCCTATGGTACTTATAGGGAGAATTTGTTGACCAATCAAGAGCATCTTGAATGGGTGATCGTTTCTTTAATTCTCATGACCTTACTGTTTGATTCAGGCCTGATATAGTAAGGAGAATTTAGAAGTCAGTCACTCTTTGGGGTTAAAGGGTTAACGACTATCCTATTAAGTAACCACTTCTATGATCGAACGAACATTTTGCTAACAACGGTTTTTTCCTCTAAGTCGAATGTCGTTTAAAAGCTTTCTCGGAGGCAGCCAGTTCTCAAATTTGCCAAGCGTTCTCGATCACATATTTGCCGGAAACTTGACTGAATCTTCCATTTTGTGCCCCGGGCAAAAAAGCATTCACAAAGACCCACGTGGGTTGAACTACAAAGCGTGAAAATCACTACGTTCCTGTCGCCTTTATGAATTCAATCCTCACAACTGAAAAAAACGGAGCAACAGTTATCTTACGCTGATAGAGCAATTTTCAATGGAGTGTCGAAAGTATTCTGGGATTGCAAAGGTTTTACTTAACTTTGCCTTGCGATTGGTCCAGAAAACTCGCACCATCCTTTCAACCAATCAAAAGCCAAACTAAAAATAATCGGGGCTTGGTCGTCCGCGTTTTCCCGCGCTTGACCAATTTGCTTGCTTTCACTGCGAGTTCTCATTGGTTGATGATAACGTTAACCATTGTTCTGATTGGTCACTGGGATTACTTTGCTTTTGGTTTTACGACACTCAATTTCGAAAACTGCTCTAATCTAGTTGTTGACCAGAACGTAACTGAACAGAGAACCGTATCAGCCTATGGCGTTATTGTACACGAGGTGCTCATGAAATACCTCTCGCTTGACGTTCTTGCATTGTTCATCCGCCAAGGGAATAGTGCTCCACTCACCACCACGGTTAAAACTAATCATTGACGTTATACTCCTGTCTGAGGAGTTACAAAGAAATGGAGAACAAATAAATATACGTGTAAAATAAACAGTTCGTGGAAATAAATTAGAATTTAGTAATGGACATTGCACGAGATGGCGCTGCTTGTCCACTGTTTCCAAGTCGAAACTGAAATTGGAATATTAGTGTCTGTGGAAGGAGGAAAACCGGAGGACGCGGAGAAAAACCCTCAGAGCAAGGACAAGTACCAACGACAAACTCAACCTACATGGGACGCCAGGGCCCGGAATCGAACCCGGGCCACGGTAGGGGAAGACGAGCGCTCTCACCACTGCGCCACCCCTACTCCCCTGATATGTGAAAGTTCATCAAAAATTTACTGTTAACGGTATCTAAGCCATTTCCGTGATGCCCAAAGCCTGTGCTTTAAAACGAAGGTAATTGTAATGATATTTCGTTTTCATGCATAAAAAACTCACTTTCAAAAGAAGGAAAAAAAAAGCTTTTTCTTCCTCCTTTTTCCGAAAGTTGGCGTTTTTAAAACTAGGAAATAACCTACTGGGTTGTTCATTTCCCACTTACAATTTCTTCAAGGATTTCATACTTTGTCAAAACTCAATACCGCTTAGAATTACGTCAACCGACATAATATGCTTATAAATGCAAGTGTATGTGCGTATAAATATCAGCGTATTCGCGTATAAACTGCTCATATACGCACCTAAGGACATACGCGTCTGTCTCATTAGTACGTGTGAGCTTGCTTTTCCATTATTGACAGGTAGTTGTTTTAAAGAAGAGACTGACCGCACTAAAATACTACAAATCCACGAACTACATGAAGACTTGTTCGTTGCAAGCCGACCTTGTCAAGGTACTGTTACATGTGTATACGTGTTCGTACTCGGAAAATATAAACGGGTCATCATTTTCGAACGGAATTCTTCTATCTGAGAAGCTGTTTCTCATCACTTCGAGAAAAAAACTACTTCCATCACCAGGTATGCACATTTCCTGGTATCACAATATCTTTATACACTGTAAATGTCATGACTAAATAACAATGTAAAACATAAGCTTACAGAGCCGGTTCTGTTATCAGGGTCACTTCTAAAATGTCCTCATTTGTAGCCACTGTTTCATTGATAATCAATTTTGATGAACAACACTGTTATTTTTCGGGGTGTCTCAACGTTTGTGTAAGAAGTTGAAGCTTTGCCAATAGCGGATCAACTACCCCAAAGAAAATTCAACAAATTTGCCCTGACAATTTTTCAAGTACATACCAACGCGCGAGTTTGTACATCATAATGTAGATCCAAGTACTGTCTATAAATCAAGCGTTTAGAAAATTCTATTGCAAGACTTTAGCTTCAGGGTTTATTAAATATTACGATGCTTACCTTGGTTCATGCGGCCTGTTAAGTAAGTGCCTCTCATTGATTCCACTTTGTAGAAATCGGTTACCTCCCCATAGTTTGTGTACTAACAAACAAACAAACAAAAAAACCTTCTTTAACAATTTGGCTACAAGTGGGTTGATTTTTACACTCCCAAGATCTAACCATCAAGTCTCTGCACTATCTTCCAAAAATTTCTCACCATTTGAGTGCGGAGAATTTGGCGTTTAATCAAACATGTCTCCTTGTTTCTCCTCAATAACTTTCTGCTTAAAAACCTATTGGCATTTCAAGGAGAAATTTCATTTTTAGCCACTCCTGGGAGCGAAAGGGTTAACCCTTTACAGCCTAATATCAAGATGCACATTCTCCATACTGTTCTCTTTACATTTTATAAGGTGCTGACAAGGAGAATCTGCTTAACAATCAAGAGTTTCTTTACTTGGTGATCATTTGGTTTATTCTCATGACCTTAATGTTAAATTCAGTGGTGATATTGTAAGAAGAAATTAGATGCTAGTCACTCATTGGGGTCGAATGGTTAAAAGGAGGAAAGCTACTATGGGCCATAAATGATTTCCTTTTCAATCTAGTATATTCAGATTAATATATAGATTTAGCCAAGCCTAAAAGCGGAGCTCGCATTTTTTTTTACCCGCACGTCTCAAGGGCACAACGCCTTGCCCCGGCCAGGACTAGAACCCGGGTCGTCCGACTCGGAGCCCAGTGCACTGACCACTGGACTACTGGACAAAGCCGTGGCGTTGGCGTGCCTGCGGTACAGTTGACCATGCATGATAAAAGTAGCACCTTGTACGGTCGTACAGTCATACATCCCAATTTTTTCGGCTTGATGGGTTACTACTATTTTGTATAATTATGGCGCTACGCTCTGCGAGCTCCACTATAAAAGAGACACATGCTTAACGTACCACATGGTCTCGGAGCGATTCACCGAACACAATTCCATCAGCATCTGAGGTGTACAACACTCCTCTACCAGTATCTAAAATTGAAATACCGTTATTACATTAGAAATAATAAGAATTACGATAATAATAGTAATAATAATTATAATAAAAATGATTGGAATTATTATAATTGGAATTTAGCAGGGTTGCTCTTCTTGTCCACTCTTTCCAGGTTGAATTGGAATTAGAATGTTGGTTTTTTTGTGGAAGGAGGAAAACTGAAAGACGCGGAGAAAAACCCTTCAAGCAATAACCTGCAGTGCAGGCGTCTTATTAGGGCGAGTTAACGTTACGAATCTCGTGATCGTCTATTCAACCACGTCTGATTTGGAGATACAGGCGGCCGTGGGGGGAAGGGCGAAAAATATTCACTCCCCCACCCCCACACCTCTTCTTATTTTTGACCCCCTTGGTACAAGCCTTCCCAGCCTTCCTCTGCCATTTAAATCAAAGATGGCAGCCATAATTTTCGCTGAGAAAATACTGAGATAAAGATACACTGGCAAATAAAAATAAAGTCGAATTTAAGATGAATGAACGTAACAAACCTCCAGGATCATCAACATGAAGAAAAATCATTCCCTCCGACATGTCCATGATGGAATAAAACTGTACAAGAAAAAAAGAATGATCAACTTGAGTGGCTACGGGCTACAGTCGTTTTGCGATTCGATCAAAAGCTGCCATTAAAATCAAAGATGGCGGCCACAATTTTCGCTGAGAATATACTAAGCACTCCCTCACCAAAACTACGCCTGCTCTGTAGGCTATAGCTTGATAAATAACACAAATGTTTCAATGATAAGCGACAATACCCTTTCTGGTGTTACAGTTGGCACTTGTACAGGGTCCCATGAATCTCCTCCATTCTTGGACACATGCATGGTGCGGGAATTGTTATTCTGAAAAGAAGGACAGTAAATAAAACATGTATGAATAAATAAATAATGAATGGGTCCATAACACTCCAAACTGACACCATTTTGGCTATCAAAGTATGTAGAAAAAAATATTGATCACTAAATTTGCAGTGAAAGTTGGCAAATTGGTGGCCTGTGTTTAGCGATCAAGACAATTTTCGATAATTTTCAAGAATAAGTTAAATAAAAAATTATAAGCACAACTATCACCAGCGCGTTGTCGGCACCTCCTTCTCTTCAGATGTTCCAAGCAATTGTCGAGCGTAATCTAAATAATGGAAGTCCCCGATTGTTCTATATTCACTCCACGATAAACTATTCGCAGTTACTAATTAAGGTCTATAATTAAAGATTATTTCTTGCTGAAAACGTTTTGCTGGAATGTTTTGTCTTACGCTCCATATTTTACCAAGACATGGTAAAAACAAGACACTTAAGTCCTTCAGTCCCGGTTGGGTTCCGGGAATAGGGGCTCATGTTTCATCAGTTTCCTGTGAAGCTTAAGGGTTTTAAAAGTCGTAAGAAGTCACGTGAGCCTTCAAAATATATTTCGCTATGACGAAGGGCTAACGCTCGAAATGCCAGCTTTGAAATTCTTTAAGGTGGCCAATTTACGTTATCAACTCAGTTGATAATACTAAATTACCCTGTTATACTCTCCCACCGACGCAGCACCACTCTTTAGAAACTTACCCCCTTTCTTCAAAATAGATTGCCAGCGACCAATGATTAAAATTTTTCTACTGACAATCATTTCTTGATTCCCCGTCACCAAATTGCGCCCTTGAAAAGTCTCGAGCTTGGTGCAATTCGAGAATAAATTGCAGCAATGAGAGCCAATCAGATTGCAAGGATCACAGTGATTTCAAAATGGATGTAATACATCATGTAAAGAATAGGATTAACATACCATATTGTGGCGCACAGAGACAAAGAGGAAATGGCCCTGAAGTCCAAAGGAGTAAACATGCTGAACGTGGATGGCTAAGAGAAGCAAGCAAATCACAAACACAATGAAGTGAAGATTGTCCAAATATCAAGTCTTAACCCTTCAACTCTCACGATCTGATTGTTAATTCTCCCCTCTAGCCTCTAAACCTTTCCTTGTAAATTAGACACGAGAGTTTGGTGCTGGATCAAGACAACAATTTCTACCTGATAAGTTTGAATATTCTCATTTCCTGTTTGCTGGATTAAGTATAAATGTTACAGGGAAAGTTACGTGTTGATCACTTCTGGATAAAATGGTTAATCTGCATTTCAGCTATCAATATTAGTTGCACTATGAGCAAAGCACGATGCATAAGGTAATGTCTGATCAATCAATCTTATCAATTGAAGAAGAGACATGAAGTATATGCGGTCAAAACCTTATGATTTTTAACAGAGCTGACTACATCATGTCAAAAAAAGGAAAAACGTTTTCAAAGTACATAGACTAAGGTGAAAAAGAGCAGAAATTATTCTTCCAACTTGTTCTGTAGGAAATGTCTGATTCATCAAAAAATTATCTTATTATTTAAAGCTATTTTTTAAAACTTACATTCAAACTTTTCTCCAAGGTCTCTTGATCTAAGCAACTTGGCTTCTCCTTTTAGGAAGCTATTGGCATCTGTTAATTTTAAAGACACGTGATTACAGAATTAACAAAATTATACACTTTCTTCGATTAAAACTGATCTATTGGCAACTTTACATTTACACAAAACAAAATGAAATACTGCATGCACTTTGATTGGTAATCGTCTATAATATTACCAGAGCAGATACATGCATGGCAACCAAAGAAAATTATTTTCTGTGCTCTGCTCAACATGGATAGGAGTTTCGAAATTATGTGAGTTTTTTCCAGATTTGGGATTAACTACAGGAGCTGTTCATGCAAAAGAAAATTAACTGAGTGAGCTTCCCACAACCTGAAAAATAGGTACTGGTACATTAAGTTCAAACTGGCATGCTCCCTGAGGACATTTTGTATTTTGCTTTTCATTTTAGCTCTCTGTTCACTGTATAAAACAAGTGTAAGACTTCAAGACCAAGATACAACCCTCTGTGCACAAAACTTTGGGACTCATAAGAGGTTGATGAGAATTTAAAAAAATGTTTTGAACTTTTTCCAAAAGCTATGACATTTCAAAATACCATTATCACCCCTTTAAAATAAAAAGCTATTTCCAGAACTGCAAGACAACAAACACAATAGATCAAACAATTCAAAGCAGCTACATGTTTGCAAGCTGATTAATGCACAGTCACCAAAAGGTTACTCACTAGATGAGACTGTCATTAAAATTGTGTTTTCTTCCTTTTTTGTATCTGTGATGGCACCCCTAAGACCAAATCAAAACAACAAAATTTAAAAGTTCCTCTGACATAAAGATGACTACTAGTTGGGTATACACATACAGTGCAGGGCGTGAAATCGCGCCTAATACAGGCGCCAATGCGACTAACTTTTTCACTTTGGCAACCAAATCCTGAAAGTTAGTTGCCAAATTGGCGACTAGAATGTTTCATCATAACCTTACCAAGAGATATAGGGAATTAAAAAGATTTGCAAAGATAAACCCGCGGCAAACTTCCTTGTTAAGTTTGTTTCCAAAACGTAGCATATGCATCTTGATCGATAACTAGACACCATCTTGGATTTAGGAGAGCTTTAAGGTTGTACATCATCCATCCTAGTGTCCGCTTTTTAGCTCATTAAAGATCTTTTCCCTAACTTAATTTTGGAGGGTCTATCTAGAACACTGTCAGCGTAAAGAAAGGTTTTGTTTGTCTTTGAAAATGGCAACCAACTTTTTTTGAATTGGCTACCACTTTGAAGAATTTAGGAGCCAAGTGGCTATCAGAAAAAAAAATTAATTTCACACCCTACAGTGTATGTTCCAGTTCAAATTTCTCCCTGCTTCTTTTAATAAACATGTTCACCCCAGTTTGATTTTCATTTTCATTTGTTTCAAACAACTTCAATAAAACAAAGAAACCTAAAACTTGAACTTGCTTGGAAATTTTTTAACTAACATCTCGCCTTTTCTCTTACCATTTTAAGCTCCTAACATAACTCTGTAAAAATTTCCAGTTATGTCCAAAGTCTGTTGATAAATATGCCTATAAAATATAGAGGAGACAAGATGGTTTGTTGATGCAAATTTTGCATTTAAGTTGGCCTGTTTGGCAGCAACAAAATTCAAGGAAGTGATCTCGAATAAATCAGTCATTCAGTGAGTCACACAATGGATCACTCTCCTAATCAGTCAGTCTGTCTGTAAGTCAGTCAGTCAATCTGTAGGTCAGTCAGTCAATCTGTAAGTCAGTTAGACAATCTGCAGGTCATTCAATAAATCAGTCAGTCAGTCTGTAAGTCAGTCAGTCAATCTGTAGGTCAGTCTGTGAATCTGTAAGTCAGTTAGACAATCTGCAGGTCATTCAATAAATCAGCCAGTCAGTCTGTAAGTCAGTCAGTCAATCTATAGGTCAGTAAGTCAATCTGCAAGTTGGGCAGTCAGTCAGTCATTCAGTGAGTCACACAATTGATCACTCTTTAAATCAGTCAATCAGCCTGTAAGTCAGCAAGTCAATCTGCTGCTCATTCAGTAAGTCAGTCAATCAGTCAATCTGTTAGTCAGTTAGTCAATTTGCAGGTCATTCAGTAAGTAAGTCAGTCAATCTGTTAGTCATTCAGTCAGTCAGTCAATCTGTAAGTCAGTCAGTCAATCTGTAAGTCAGTCATTCAATCTGAATGTATATAAGTCAGTCAGTCTATAAGTCAGTTAGTCCACCAAAAGAATCAGTCAGTGAGTCATTCACTCAAGACATGTAATCATTTATTGAGCAAGTCACTTACAAAGTCAGTCTGAGTCAGTTAATTAGAAAGTTCTCGAAAAGTCCATCAGTAACTCATTAATGGACAATCTGCCAGTCAACCCTTCTTACCATCCCATTAACAACAGCCCTTGCCAAGATCCAATCTTCCTTCCATGGATGAAACAGAAGTGGTCCACTGATCTGAAATGGAACTTTCATCTTCTCCCAACTTTTTCCCCCATTTTTGGTGATAACCAGGCCAGATTGTGTTGGGAAAAATGGAATGCTGTGAGAAACTAGAATAACCTACAAATCAAAATAAACAGAATCAAAGCATCAGTCAAGAAAACAGTTACATAAGTTGATGATAATGTGGTATAATGGTAAATAGCACATTAAACTGTAAACTCCCAGATCTATATGATTTTAAAACATGTCAGTTCTCCCTAATATGATATCCATACATTAATTAGCAGGAAAGGAATAGAATACTAAACAATTATCAGGTAGAAATTTTTGTCTTGATCTAAACCAAATTCTCCTAACTAATTTACAAGGAAATGTGTAGCAGCTAGAGGGGAGAATTAATAATCAAATCTTGGGTGTTGAAGGGTTTAAGTCCCAGTTAGTATTCAGACTGAGGTGACAGTGGAAATGACAATAGTTCAGTAAAGGAAGCTGTTATTTGTCTTGTCAAGAGTGTGGAACAAACAAAATTGTTCAGTCTCCCCAAGAAATCAAACCCACTTCATGATCAATGTGCAGCTTCTCCTTGCAAGATCAATACTTAATATAGAAACAGGTGATAAGAATAGACAAACTAGTCAGTTAAGGGTTTTCTTGATAAAACACAACATTCTCTCAACTTAATGAAAGTGGTAAGTTTCTAGAGAAACTGAGGTGCTGTGTACAACAGGGTAATTTAGTATAATCAACTGAGATGACAACATAAATTGGCCACCATTAAGAGTTTAAAAGCTGACATTCTGAGAGCTAACCGTTCATCAGAGCAAATGACAAAGAACTAACGCTCAAACCATCAGCTTTAAAACTCTTTATGGTGGCCAATTTACATCATCAACTCAGTTGAGAATACTAAATTACCCTATTATTTCAACTCCACCACAATTAACAAGGAAATGTAGAGAGAGACACAAGATGGGAGAGTTACTAACCTTGTTAGGGTTAACTGGGCTTTTCAAGATTCCACTGTCTTTTCTGATATGCATATTAAAAACTTCAGCATTCACATGTTTGAAAGTTTTTCCAAAGTCCTCACTGAAACAAGAAAACAAGAAAAAGAAGTTACATTTACCATCTATCCTTCTGAAATTAAGTACAGACAAGTTCAATTCACATCTTTAGGAAAAAAAAATTAGGAAGTACTGTCTTCAAAGTCATTGCAACAGAAATGAAATATGTAATCCCTGAAAAAAAGTTCACATGACAGTATGGCATCTGCCTTACATTCAAGACATATCGCAGGTTAGAATCCCAACAAAAAGCCTGAATTTTTCCAAGCTTTGATGATGTACAAGACAATTCTCTGCTGAAACAATTCCTGCTGGAAACTAAAATATTGAAAGTCTTGCAAAAAGCCCGCGGAAATACATTGGATAAAGAGGGACTAAAAATTTTGATGAATTCATTGAAAAATGCTCTCAGAATTTTAAACTCCTTAGATACAGATACGATTTCACGTCTGGGGATTCAGTGGTTGTCATTAGCAACAAGGAGACAATATGATCTGTCAATTGGCTTCATTGAACAACTACATAATAAACTGATCTCTTAGACAAAGACAACAGTCACTTTCATGGAGATATTTCAATCGTTTTGGGATGTTTGATGTCAGAGAAAAAACCTTTTGAAGCAGTAAATTATTCTTCATGATAATAATCCACCATGATCTCAGATATTGAATTTCAACTCAATATTGCCTGAGTTTGAGCAATATCGTGTTTTGAAAGAGAAGCTCAGACTAAAAAGCTAAAAACAGTGAGAAAGTTGATCACAAAACTCTGAAGGAACAGATCAAGAAAGACTATCAGAAAAAACTTGGTTTTCTGGTAACATTTAGCAGAAAGGGTTAAGAGTCGAAATTGACAAGAAACTGAATCATGGCTTTTCTTTGGTCATCTCAAGACATAAGTGTATACATTGTAAAGACACATTATTCAAAAGGTATGTAATTGATACATTTCAGATCTCCCTAACAATTTGTAACTCTTGAACTAAATGAAAAATCTTTTCTCGACTTTACCAGTAGCTAAAGAGATCTGGAATGCAAGCTATTGTCTTTCACATAGTATGCTGAACCACAGAACATGCTACTTGCTATGATGAATATTCAAGATATCAATAGCGAAACCTTTATCTCCTTTGGTCATCAAAAAAAGCTTTCCATGATGAAATTATTATCCCTTACTTTCTGTATTGTAGATCTCTCAGGATTTTCAACATCATATTCAAATCTTATCAGTCATTCCATATTTTTACTCTGTTTCTCTGGTAATCAAACTCTTGTCTAGATTTGTGAACTGAATTCAGGTATTCAGACAAAGAGTTGAATGCATTTTCAAATGCAAATATCAAACTTCTGCAATATGTCGAGTTCAAGTGAGTAACCAGTATCACAATTCTTTAACTGTAACAGTCTAGCCTTCTAAAAATTTATCATTAAGAATCGTGAATATTCTTCTGCACTTTTCTTCTCTGACGGAAAAGGGTTTTTCTTCATTTTTATTGAAGATGATAAATATAAGTATTTTTTTATCTTAAATAAAAATGAGAGATATTTTTGAAATGACAGAAGAGGAAATAAGGAACAAGAAAATGGTTGAATTATGACTGTTGGCCACATGGTATAACAGGAAAAAAAGAGCTCATTGGTTCCATAATTGGAGGCAGAGAATGCAAACCCAAACTAACTAATTTCATCCTTCTGGCCATGGCAAGGGAAAAAACATGAAAACACCTCATACCTCACAGAGCCAGAGCTACAAAAGACACTTGGCATTAAGAGTGTGGATGAAAAACTAAGATCAACACCATACATGTTAATTAGTAGTGAACAGACAGAAACCAATCCCTTTGCCAAGAACAAAAAAGGTTGAAAATACAATCCCTTTGCCAAGACCAAAAAGTTCTCAAACAGTTCCATTGCCAGGAACAATAACAGTGAGAAGAATCCAAGGTATTCCATCAAGAAGGAAAACTAGTCATCAGAAAGGAAGAAGGAAAACAAGCCATCCCCTTCTTATGTAGAAGAAAATTTCTGAGTGCAAATGATGACAAAGATGTTGAACCACTAACCTCAAGGGATTCTTTAGAGAATTTATTGAGAAGGATCACCAAAATGACCAAAAGTTCTTTAGGTCAATCCTGGGCATGAATTCATAGGTGATGTCACAAAAGAAATGGAAAAGCATGATGTGAGGATAAGGAGAGGGAATGTGGACCATCACAGAGATCAATGAATCATTGAGCAAATCCATCAAACTTTGGGTGAAGGTTTGTTCAGTTTTCAGTATCAGGTCAGTAGATGAATTTCACATCCCGAAAGAGATTTACTGAACAGTTGAAAAGACTTCTAAAAGTTCTCTCAGCTTTGAACCATGAAGTGACTCAATTAACGAGAAAGAGTCCTGTTGAAGCGATCAATGATAACTAAAGGTGGTTGATGCAAAGAGTTCAACCCCTTATTCAAGACATGTTGGCTTGAAGGAGAGGACATTCAACTCCTCAAAGAATGTGAGGTACTTGTATGCAACTGGTGAGTTGGAAGGCAGACAGAAAAGAGCTTCAAGTCTATGAAGGTCAACAACATAGATAGATCAATTGTGAATAAAGGAGAGCCAGTTCTCTACTATCTGAAAGATGGATCAAAGCAAAGATTCATTAGAGAGGAGCTTCAGATAGTTCCTCCTGGAACTAAGCTGCCTCCTGAAGATTCATTGTGTCATTTTGATTTTCACAACTCAACTTCGGAGAACAGAAAAAAACAAACTGTGCAACAGAACAGTCCTTACTACGACATATCTCAACCAGAATTACATGTACAAAAACAAAATGACCAGCCATCCAGGAAGTTTGTGTTTACTTGACCAAAGGCATATGGATACATATGATTACTATTTATAATGATAATAATATCCATTTTTTTTACCTTCTGTAAAGGTCTGAAGGTTTGCTAAAGAAAAACATCAGCTCAGTTGTGGCCAACAGTAGCATTGTCTGAAAGAAAGACATAAAAGAGAAATGTAATATACAATTTCATTTTTTTAAAAAGCATTTAGTAACAACATAAACTTTTAAATTACTTATTTTTATAAAGAGTTATTTCCAAACAACTTTTATACAGTTTTATATATCTCCCAAAGCCCTTGAAAAGTGCTGTGCAACAGTGGAATTGGAATGAGGGCACTAAATTAAATCATTATGGTACTTCCTTTTAACCCTTTAACTCCCAAGATATGAATGTTAATTCTCCCCTGTAGCTGCTACACATTTCCTTGTAAATTAGTTATGAGAACTTGGTGCTAGATCAAGATAGCAGCTTCTACCTGATAAGTTTGAATATTCTCATCACCTGTTTGCTGAAGAATGTATGGATATTGTAGGGAGAAGTTTTATGTTAATCACTTCTGGGAGTTAAAGGGTTAATTCACAAAAACTTGTAAAAAAAAACCTAACTTAACCTGTTTACCCCAAAACTGACCAGGGCAAAATTTTTCCTTATAATAGCAGTCAAGTGATGAGAATAAAGGAAAATATCACAAAGGAGATTATAAGTAAGCAGTAACCAAATTACCAGAATCAACATCATAATAATTTTGTGGCAGACAGTTAGGAGAATTACTGACAAGATCTTGGGAATGAAAGGGTTGACTTACTGTGATGATCAATCTACCTCCACAGAGCTACACTGTAGATTGATCATCAATTGATCAAGGTAGATTGATCATCAATCTACCTCAGTTTTACAAGACACAACAGAATTCTACCATTTCCTTATTTTCATCTTTTCTTTAATTCTTTTTGTTTAATGATTTTTTAATGAGGGGTTTTTGGCTATTAATTACCCACACATGCTTCTTTCACCCATTATTTGTTTAAGTGTGTTAAAACAGAAAATAAACAACTGCTTTTTTAATCAGTGCAGTCAGACATAAAATTCAATCTGTATCCTAAAGACTTAAAAATCATTATATTTAATAGTACCACTCCACGTCAAATTTAAACAATCTCATGGAAATTCGTCTAAATCTTTCCCTATAAATGTTACATTTGCCTTTGTTAGGAAAAAAACGAAAAAAACTGCGAGCCAAAACTTCATGCGCATATCCCTTAAGAAAAAAGGGCATTCCTAGAGGAATTTTTGGATACCATGGTAATTTGTCCTTCATAATTCAATAACCGACATTTTATGATTAATGATAAACAATAACTGCAGGGGATAAAAAGCACCTAAAATTTAACAACAAAAACACTTGCTAGAGCCGTAAGATCGAGCAAAGGTTTGATAGAAAGTTTGCACATACTGAGAGCCTATAATTCTGTCTAAACATCACCGATCATCATGTGATCCGCACTAGGTAAATTAAACCGAATACTAATTTCAGTTGGTAGATGCATCGGTATCGCTGAGGTAAACGACGTAGTTTTCGTAAACCGAAAATAAGGGTCTTAATTAAAAGCGCTACTCACCGCAGCTTCTCCAGTCTGTTTTTTACCGATCCAGCTGATGGAAATACTCATCTTTGTTTCGTTTTCAAATTTCCACTTTAAAAAAAAAAGAAAAGAAAAAAGGTTCCAATGAATTGTAACTGCCCTTGTTACAAGATGCGGAAATATGGCTGTTCTTTGTAAACAAAGCATAAAACTGCAAAATGCACTAGACTTACTTGATTATCTTCTATTCTACTGCCTTCATCCATGGCAGGATTGTGGCAATTCCCGTCTCCTCCTACGTTGACTACATCTTCATCTTCCTCGTGTTTCGCGTCTCGGCGAAAACGTCGCTGAGAGTTCAGGGATTTTCTCGAGATCGATAATTTTAGGACGTTTGTAGACGGTTGATCGCGGACGAGTTCAGCGTTTATAACCGCACACATACAGTGCACAACGAGAAAAATACTTGCTACGACAACCCCACGCATTATTAAGGGAAATAAAACCACAATGACAAAAAATAATAGGAGAAATAAAAGAACAACGAAAAGCTATAGTTTAAAATACATGTCCCCCAATGATTTTCTCCGAGAATAAACTTGAAAGACCGATCCGAGCATGCGTTAAATACCTTACCGCAGATTTAATTTCCTGCAGTCTCGGTTTTCTGAGGGAGGGATATGACCTTGTTGGAAGTAAGCAGGAGATTTGGTTGAAAATGAGAAACTTATATTTCTCTTTTTGCAACAGCTTCTTGTTGTTTATGAGATAATTTTAACAGGTTCTTGAATTTCAAAGGGATTTTAGCAATGTTTCATCGATGTCCCTAAATCCAAACAGAGGTCCGCAACAGCGTGCGAATTCTTGTCACACCATTCCGTCTGAAACCCAAGAGATTATAGTTTCTTGCATAGACTCATCAGCAATATGGAGAGAGGAAACAGGAAATTTCCACGGCTGAGCTGAAAGCTTTTCTGCATTCTTTATAACGATAACGATAACATGATATTCGTTTTCCCGTCGGTGGTAAAGTTTTTTTTATTATAGACATTTCATGCAAAAATCGAAAGCCCTTTTTTCCCTTATCAAACTTGTGACTGAAGCCATAACAGAGAGCTAAACTAGACACTTCATGTAGATCACATGACTAGTACTTCACAACACCAACCGGCCTTAGCGCGCCAGGCCATCAGCTGAGAAACGCAGTGTAGTAGTATTGGCGCATGGGTCACATCCAAAATCAACTCGACCCAAACTTCCCCCTTTTTTCGTTCTCCGCTGTTAGCACATCATCCTTAGCTCGTTACAAGAGTTCGTTCTGAGTTCATTCTGTAGGCAGCTTTTGATAGGATTTTGAATTCTTTGTTTTTTTTTTTTTAAGTCAACCCTATAAATTTGACAAATTATTTGCGTTTTTATGGACCTCGACTTTGTCACGGTCCATATTAACTGAAGTCAGCCAATATCCAGCCATCTTGACCTCACGCCTGGTCAATAGTGCATATCTAACAATTCTTCTACTGCAAGTTACCAGGATAACTTTAATATACAAAATCAACCGATCACAAGATAGCAAACAAGCAAAGATGTATTTTTCACAAATTCAGTCGTACTAATCAGTACTTTCACTAAATGACTAAGTAACCATTTGTGCATTAATGACACTGGTTTGTATTTTACGACGATCAGTCGAAATGCGCCCCATAATGAAATTGATTCCTCATCTCCTGTAGTTGGATAGGTCAATTTTATGAAAGAGACACCAACATCACACAATTTATAACATCACAAAATTTTTTAATCAAAAGCCTGTAACACTCCAAAAAACGCTCTTCGACGATTTCACCTGTAGGTACGTACCTAGATTTCCTCATTACCAAAGTTTTAAAGTGTACTCGTATTACAACTCATATGAGATAATTGGCTGAATTTTTTTCTTTTGCTCTTGTCGACATCATCTTTAATATCAAGCTTCATGCTGAACTTTTTGGAAATATATAGATCTACTTTAGCACGATCGCGATTCAAAGCTTAGTTCTGAGCTTTGAATTCATTTATCTTTCTGTGTTGCGAAGAATCAAATATATATTTCGGAAACAAACTGAGTTACTATGGTTACTTCTATAGAGCAGGGTCAGTTTTTGTGTCGAAAAACCAAAACCAAAGTAGTCCCAGCGATCAATCAAAACACAGGTTTACGTCATCATTAGCCAATGAGGACTCAGTGAAAACAAGCACACTGCTCGAAGCGCGGGAAAACGCGAATAATTAAGCCGGCCGCGAATGATAAAGCTGCAAGCTGATTGGTTGAGAGAGTGGCGCATCAGTAACAAATTTCCATTTAACATTAGCTTGAGCTAAAGAGAATTTTCCCGTTTTAAGGGACTTGTTAGGCCCAATAGAACCGGAGATATCGATTTTTTTTTAATTCAAGTTTTAATACTCACCCAGCTTTTTTTCAACAAATCAACATGGCGCTGAACGATCGCTCGCACAAAATGTGGCCACAAATTCGCATTCTGTCAAGTATGAAACGTTGAGATTTGGGCATGGGCCGCTAGTGTTTTTACTGCATAATCTTATCAATAAAGTACATGCTAATATTGGCACAGAATTGTGCACGCGTCTGAATTTCTTTGACCTTTAAACTCGACAAAGACGCTTTCAAGTTTTCGAAAGTTGGATCAGACAACTTTTAAAAGAATGAAATGTATCACCTTAATGTCACGTTTTCGCCACCAAAAAGTTGAATAACAACGTGCGGGTTATCCACCAGGGCAATCTCTTTTTTTTCGCCGTATGCAATAATCGGCCGGTGCGGGTAAACGACCGGAAATTACGGTCAAAGCAATTCCGTTGACACTCAGTTGAAAATTACTTCCTCGTAGTACAAGAAACGAAGCAACTCCAACAGGCTCTCGTACTCATAGTAAGATAGATCAATAGAGTTTTTAGTTTCCGCCATTGGACCATAGAACACAGCACAAAACACAGGGCTGCTGATTGCAAGAATAAACTTGTGAGCTGGAATCACCAGCTTCTTGCCGTTTGACGCTGGAACAACAAATTTTACATCGCTTAGCAATTCCCTGTCGAATATAAATTTGTTTCTGTCTAAGACAGTATCACACTTTGTCTGCCAATATTATCAATAACCGGTGCATCAAAGGCGGCAGAGTTGTATGTAGCCTCACACGTGTTGTAGTTAACAGCCCCCGAAATTTCGTAGTTTGTAGGCATCGCTGCTGTTACTGGTTTGACCGCGTTCTTTGATACAACAACCCCCATACAGTCTGACTTGATTTCCTTTCAATTGTGGTTTGTGATCGAGAGACACAAATCAAAAATTGACGAAAAGAGCCGAAGAGCTATTCGGTTTTCGTAATACAATAATCCTTTGGTTAAAACTACCCAAATATATAAAATATTACGCAGTGTTCTATTTCAAAATTCGATACTACGTCTCGCAAAATCACCTTCATGACCTTTAGGGAGGGCAGTTTTACGTCACATCAGCCTCTCAAATCACCCTCATTCCACGTTGATTATTTTAATATTAATTTTTAGCATTATTATTATTATTATTATTATTATTATTATTATTATCATTATCAAAACTATAAAAAAATTATCGAACGTGATTGGCTATCACCAGCCTGATTTGTGCACTAATAGGACAGTGTACGCGTCATGGTTGTAATTCGACGGTGTAATAGGACGTCATGCCTAGGTAAGTGGACAAAACGCGTCATGTGCGCGCGCTGTTGTCTCGCATTTCGCCGAGTTAATTTTAAATGAAAACGTGTAGAACCAATGTCTAGTTTCTTTCTCAAATTTTGTCATAGTTGTGATTAATTGGTAACAGGACCTCTTGTCATCGACTTGTTTGCAATCATACTCGTAATTAACAAATCTGACTCCCGCTTCGCGGTCGTTCGATTTTGTTTAGTCACTCGTATGATTACAGTCCAAATTGGACTCCACTCGGTCCTATTACCATTATTTATATTATTATTATTTGCTCGTTCGTTTTTTTCCGATTTTTTTTGAAGGGGCCATCCAGAGGCGTTACCTAGAGCCAAAGCTGTGGAACCTACAATCAGAGTCACACTGAACTGTCAGAACTTTCAAGGCCTTCAAAAACAGTATAAAGAAAATTTTCCTTTTGGGCCTTTTAACCTAACTTTTTACTTGTTATTTAACTATTGTTAGTATATATGATTATTGTTGTTACTTCTTAGCATAGCATGGAATTATTTTAGATTGCAATTTATGATCCTGACTTAAACTTTTAAATTATTAAAATTTTTATTCGTATGTTATGGTATAAACTTTTAAATTTAAAATTAATTTTTAATGAATACAGAGAATTGGCTAGTGTGCCATTTCATTATGTTATGTCACACCTGAATAGCTGAGCCTAAGACACAATAAACTTGTGTTGATCAATAAACTTGTTGATTAAAGGGCCGTCCTAGGGACGAAGGAAAGTAGCCAACCTGCGGTCGTGGAAGAAGGGGGGGGGGGTGGGGGGTTAACATTTACGTTCTCTTTACAGTTATGACACTTTTTAATCTGTCTTCATCTAAAACATTCAAATTTCCCCTCCCTCGGGCATGGGCGACAGTCAAATTCCCGTGGGTTGTCCGAGGGTTAGGGGGAGATGTTAAAGCTTAGAATTAATAGGTGTAATGATAATAATGATAGGTATAATAATTATGATAATAATGATAAAAACTTATAATAATAATAATAATAATAATAATGATAGCAACAATAATGATAATAGTAAGGATATTAAGCGTGGAACAGGTCGATGTGACGTAAAACTACGTTCAAACGTACCAAGTACAGTCTGTCATGCAGAAGATTTTCCGAGACGCAATATAATATTTAGAAACAGAACACTACGTAATATTTTGAATATTTGGGTAATCACATAACCTCGAGGCTATTAAATTACGAAAATCGAGAGGCCCAGCTTTCATTCGTTGCGAGAAGTAAACACATCTAACCGAGATCTCGTCGATTTCTTATCTTCAATTTTTGCTCAGCGACTCTCGATCACAAACCACTAGTGAAAGGATATCAAGTGAGAATATATGGGGATTGTTTTATCAAAGAACGCCAACAAATCAGTAACAGCAACGATGGCAACAAACTACGAAATTTCAGGGGCTGCGGAGGCTGCAAACAACACAGCTGTCGCTGACGCACCGATTATTGAAGCAGAAGACTGGCAGACAAAGTGTCTTACTGTCTTAGACAGAAACAAATTTATATTCAGCAGAGAGTTACTAAGCGATGTAAAATTTGTTGTTCCAGCGTCAAACGGCAAGAGGCTGGTAATTCCAGCTCACAAGTTTATTCTTGCAATCAGCAGTCCTGTGTTTTGTGCCATGTTCTACGGCCCAATGGCGGAAACTAAAAACTCTATTGATTTACCTGACTATGAGTACGAGAGCCTGTTGGAGTTGCTTCGTTTCTTGTACTACGACAAAGTAAATTTGAGCGGAAGCAACGTAATGCAAGTATTGAACTTAGCCACG